GGGGGTGAGAGAATTACAGGGAGGCGAATAGTAGGGTGGGAAGGAGGAAGGGAGATGAGAATGTAGCGAGACTTCGGGACTCCTTATATGGACATAGGGAAAGGATCGCTATTCACATGTAAGCCGGAAGCTTAGCAGAAAAGGGAGAAGAATGAGCCGAAAAGGAATAATAGTTTTTTTCTTCCTGGGGTGTTTCTGCACGCAGTGAAGGACGTGGTGTTGAAGTGCTAAGGCAAATTCGGGGCCATAAAACGAGAGCAGGAATTGATGACTGAAGCAGCTGGTGAAGGGTTAGAATAGGAGTCAAATTTACAGTCGACTTCGGGGGAGAAGTCAAGGCCCGAACGCAACGGCAGTGCATGAATGGATGATCGGAGGAATTGGACCAATTTAGCAGGCAGACGGTGGGACTCACTGAAACACTACAGCAGCCCTTGGTGGATGCTACCTGGGGGCGTTTGTCTTCACATACTAATGACGAATAAGACGTGTTCATCCAACTCCTCTCTTCTTCGTGGCAGCCTTACCTCATAACGAGCCCAGCTAAGACGCTTTGTTCGCCTCAACTCGCATAATGTTATGACCTCCTCACGATCACTGTCACAAATATGTGACGCCGCTACTTTACTCACATGAAATCGTTGTCACAAGTATGCGATAGCCTATTCTCTGTCAGTCAGTGCTAGCTGATTGTTGGGGCAGGACAGCGCCTTCTGCGCAGCAACAGTTAAGTTGGCCGGGCATGTGGAAGAGCGCTAAGCCATCTGAGTTGGTCCTGCGGTCGACGCCCTTGCGATGCAGCATCAGACAAATGGGAATGTCAAAAGTACTAGTGCGCACCGCGTTTGGACTTTCTTTATTCTATCTTGTCAGTTCGTCTTCCGTATTTCTGCTTTTGAATATTTTCTGAAGTTTCCATTAAATCTATTCTCTTTTATGCACAAACGTTGAAAACTTTGTCATTTTGGGTAGGCTATTTTTGTAAAGTTTAATGATAGCTAATTTAGGCATTTTTAAAAATATTCCCCGAGAAGAAAGAGACTAATTAATGCCTACAGGTTATTACAGTTTTATTGTAAAAATGCATATAAATCAAGTGCATGTTTTGTTTAAAAAAAATTAAGCATTTTACATAACTTTATTCTTCTTTAAGTCGATTGCAAAGTATTCGGATAAATCTCAATCCTCTCTTTAATACAAACAAACATTTTCTTTAAACGGTTAATAGACAACGCAAGTGGGAGATGCCGAAATTTCTTGCGTAGGTTTTGTTATTTGCCCCTTTTGTTTGCAGTCTGGTGTTTGCCTGATTTTGGCCCTATTTCTCTCCTCCATCCGGCTATTTAAACAAAATAAATATACAAACAGCGTTTCGCAGCTGATTTGCTACCACTTTTGCCCAAAATTTGCTAATTTTTTGTTCAGGCGACGTGTTTTTTTGTTGATGTGTGGAGGGACGATTGCTTTGGGGTTAATTATAGCCTGCTGTGAGGTTTTTGTTGTCATAAAGTCTGCTCCATTTATTATTTAATACCTGGGAAGGAAGATCCTTCCTTCTTTTTCGACTGAAATTGCTTGTCAGAATTTTCATTGTCAAAGGGTGTTTTTGGTCAGTGACCTATACAATCAATTTGTCGAGAGCTGCTGGTTTCCTCTTTTTTCCTTCTCAACACCCCCTTGGCTCGCTCCATATCTCGTGAATTCCTTAGTACTATTTTACTTTATCCACCCAATTATAACAATTTTTATGAATTTGCGCTGCTTCTTCTTGAGGGCATTTGGTCTGCGGTGCACCGTCCCCTTCCCTTATTACCGAAGTACAGAAGAGCTGAGGGGCTACCGGCATGGCCCAGAGGTTATTCCGCCCAGCGGAAGTACAACCGGTTGAGCCTTCGATGCCCGTGTTACCGAAACTGAGGGCTAAACAAGCACAGTGTTTCGTGCCGTCACCCGACGACAACCGAATGAGACTGAGGCTTACTTTGAAGTGTTCACCTTCCTCATCATTGTTTCTACCGGCTCGTCATCTGTCACTTTCTTCCTTCTTTTGTAGCTTTGGTAAATCCAATTGTGCCCCCGTAGCCAAGTTACGTGATCGTAGGGTTTTGCTGTTCTTCCGCAACTGCATTTAGGCGCAAGATTAGACTTACGTTTTTTACCCCCTTTTGCCTTTGCCCAAACACCTCGTTGCGATCGACGTATAAAGGAACTTTTTAGGCGAAGGAAAGTTATTTGCAACTCCTTTTGGTGGCTAAGACAAACAATTCAGCGTTGCGCCGGCAAGTAAAGTTGATTTGGCGTTATCCTGCCAAAACTGGCAGAACCGCTTCTCCAAATTATTGATTTTTGGTGGTGTGTGAAGCATCTGTCGTGGGTATTTCTCGGTACCACCGTAGATGGTAGGCAGTGTTGTCAATGCGTAACCACACCAAGCTGATATGCTCTAAGTCACCCTATGCGACACCGTTAAAAGTGCAGTCAACCTCGAGTGTAGTTAATGTGCTTGTCATTTTATTGTCAAACTATGCGTCATCTGTCATGCGCGAGCCTCCTCAACTCCTTCAACTTGAAGGCTGCCTCAGCGACAACTTCATGTCAAATTACCGCATCAATTGGTGAAGAAGGTTCTAGAAGGCGTTTGTAGAGGTTTTTTACTTCCGCGATTTTAAGAGTCAGGATACTTTGTGATCCGTACCCTTTGATCTATCTATCCATTCCGTATCCATCTACCGATCGCCTATCGCCCATTTGTCCATCCTTTCACCCATTTACCTGCCAATCTACGAATCCGTCAACCTGTTTACCACGGATCGGTGAATTTTTTTACCAAATATCTAGCCTGACTCATCTATCAATTTCTCCAATTATTTGTCCGCCTAACCACTTCCCCTTTTTGTTTACACCTGGGCTACTTCCCAGTATGGATATAGGTGTGCTTAGAAGACTGTGGAATACTGGACTGTGGCTGCTAACTCCTTTTTTCTCCACCTCATGCAGCACACAAGTAAACTATCCGACTTCACATGCATTAAGACCGTTGGAACGGGCTCCTTCGGTCGCGTCTGTCTGGCTCAACACAAAAACAACAGGCGGCATTACGCCATCAAAATTTTGCAGAAAGCCAAGGTAATTTTTTTAACTTCCTTACCTCAAAGGAGGAGGACACAGGCAAAGTTATCAGACAGACGCTTTTCTGTATATGTTTGTGATCAAATGCTGCCAATCACGCACTCAGTAGCAGTAGACATCAAAGGTCTTGTCCTTGTTATTATCGGACACACAGGCCCAAAACAAACATGTCAGCAGTTCGGTGAGGGTTTCAGATCACCGGAACCGAGTGGCAGAGCGGTACAGGGGGAAGCATAATCATGAAAGCTTTCAAAATCACCCACTTCTACATTGTACAGGAGTCATGCAAGGCAACAACTTCCGTCAGAAGTAATCTCACTAGAGCTCCTCATTAATGCTACAGCGGTGGATAGCTTTTTATTTTTAAAAAAACTCGTTTTTTGCATTTATCACCCTCTTTTTTCCTGTCTTTTATAGATTGTTAAATTAAAGCAGGTGGAGCACACCTTGAATGAGAAAAAAATCTTGTCCTGCATTACGTTCCCCTTTATTGTCGCCCTCAAAACGTACTTCAAGGTACGTGGTGATGCGGATTTTGAATGCGGTGACTCTCCTCGCTTGTTCCCTTTTTTCTTTCCCCCTTTTTTCATTTCAGGACAATTCAAACCTTTACATGGCTCTTGAATTTATCAATGGTGGTGAATTATTCTCTCTCATTAGAAGAGAAGGAAAATTTAGGTAAGGTTGCCACCCATCACTTCTCAAATCTGTGTGTGGGTGGTGGGAAGCAAACTTTTTCTATTAATAGACTTGAAATGGCAATAATCTTACTTGAAGACTTATTTAAAAATATTCTTGTACTTTTTTATCCCTTTAAGATTTCATAGAAATATTGTAATGTTAATTTTTTTTTCCTTGTTAAATATCACCAAAAGTCTGGAATGTTGATGAGTCATGCCCCGGAGCCATTGAGATTTGAGTTAAAAAATGAGAAGCATATATACTACATACTTCTGTGTTTCTGCGTCTAACCTTTAGACGGAAGACGTCATTCGGTTGTGACTACTTTTCGAGAGACCTTGTTAAACAGAGGTAACGTCATTTAGAGGAGGCTAAACTGGCGATAAAAAACAGGAGGGAGAAGCCAGACAACACCTAGTATCATTTGCCATTCACTCCTTTGATCGCTCATACCACTGACTGGGCACGTGGACAGGTTTGGCATCCAACCTGTCGCCTTATTTACCATAGTCATTTTGTTATCCTCTCATTGTGTTACCTCCTGCGTCATCTTATTTTTTATGGATGCGAAATTTATTTAGCCCGACCCCTCCCCCCCAAAAGACAAGACAATTTTATTTACTTATACATAATGAATGACACCAAAGGTGGATCAAGGCTATGGTAGCCACCGCCAGCATGGCAGAGCCTGCAACACGTGACCACGTGGCATTCATCGGCCCAGCATTCGTGACCGCTGTGCTGCGTGGACAATTGTCTACCCGCGGCATTTTTTAGCTACAGTGAAGCCCGCCCTCTCTCTAATAGCATAAATCTTCCATCGTGCCGTGTATGCTGCATTATTTTGCAAGCACCGCGTGTGTAATTCGGTGAAACTTTAGACGGACACTAGGTACTAGTGTGTAGACTGCAACTGTGAAAATTGGTCCAAAGCCGATTCTGTTTTTACCTCTCCCCCCATTTGTCAGAAGGCATGGAGGTGAAAAAGGGAAAAAAGCCCCCCCCCCCCCTTGTTTTTGCCAGCTAACTTAATTTGGGGGTGAGTTTTACTAATTTGTGGGCATTCCTCATTTCTCCATTTTTTAAGCTTACCATACATGCACACTTATTATGATATGCTTTCTGATTAAGAGGCGAAAAATTGCCACAAATGCACACGTGCGCTTTGGTTTCTTTTTTCTCCTCTTTCCTTCTCGAAAACAGCAGCGTTGACATTAAGACTGGCTAAGAAAATGTGAAATAGCCACCTGGCAATAAAAGCGACTGCTGGAAAAGATGAGTCATGCAAGTCAATCTGTAAAGCAGAACACGAAGATGGCGCATAATTCTAGCAATGAAATCGCTTGACTGACCACCTCATTAGGGTTTGCGAATGTGAACACTTCCGTCCACACGTTCCAAACGCATGTATCACTTCGACAATTCTGATGCATCACCTCTGCATGTCTGACGTCCCTAGACACTTTAATTATGCTAATTTTGGCTTTGATGTTAACTTTATGCTCTTTTTTGTCGATGGGGCTTAGAGAGGACACAGCACGGTTTTACGGAGCTCAGGTTGTGCTTGCGCTACAATATCTGCATTCCATGGATATCGCTTACAGAGATTTGAAACCGGAAAACCTCCTCATTGATAAACATGGATATCTAAAAGTTAGTTCCCTTTTGAATAATCTTAACTGCATGTTCCGATAGTTAATTGGTGGTCTTCAAGGTCAAAGACCAATATAAAGAAACAATAGATGCTAAAAGCATCTGAATAAATTGTATGTAAACAAAAAAGCAAAAGAAAATTGTGAGAAAAATATTTTCCAAACAATTCAAAGTTGAAACAAACCTAACGGCAAAAATTGCAAATTACTAATAAAAAGCTAATTAAAAGAAATTAATTCAACGAATATAGAGCAAATAAGAGACATACACGTATTCGTCAAAAACCATTGGAATTTTTTGTTTGAAGGAAACTTCAAAGAAAGAATTGATAATTACAATTTGATGAGGCTATTTCACAAAATAAATCAGGAGTGGAATTGTTGTGGGATCGAAAGTGCCCGTGAAGAAGATCTCAAAAAAATTGATTGATTAGGTTGCCGAATTCTTTCACACACTACAAGTTATCTAAATTTTGGGTGGAATATTCATGTTTTTTATCATACATTCAATGCCCCCTTTCGAAGCGCAGTGCAAATTTAAGCCCTTGCTAATTTTTTCGGGTTCTAGAAAAATTGACTTATTGCATCAGATTAGACTGTTTGCTTGCTTTTCTTTAAAGACCGAATTTAAAGTAGCGTATTTTTACCAAAGGCTACCTTTCCTTTCTACAAAAGAACAATTTGATTAGGTCAATGGTCTTCCCACTTTTGCCTAATGTTATGGCTGAAACGAAGGGAAGGGTTACTGATCTTAATCCAGCCTTAATCCTCCTTTGTATACTGAGGAAAGTTGTACTTTTGCTACAAGAAATACAACATCACCTTTCAATTTTAAATCAAAATTAATGGTCCAGCTTTTATTTGCCATCGGGCAGACCTAATTTGCTTTGATCGCCCCTAGACAGATTTAAGTAAACACCAAGTAATCGCGTTTCCCTCTTTTACAGTTAACCGATTTTGGCTTTGCAAAAGTCGTTAAAGGCAGAACCTGGACCCTTTGTGGAACTCCAGAATACCTTGCCCCCGAAATCATCCTCAGCAAAGTAAGTTTTTTCCTAATTTCTTGCAATCATTTGAAATTCATGTGTCATGCAATGCTACCATGGAAACAGCATAGATCAAAGCAACTTAGTATTCGGTAAGGAAGCAACATAAACAAACTCCCATTCTGTCTATGTGCTAAGTAAATAGGCTAGAGCAGACCAACAGCGAAGGATGCAGTTCTTTACTGTTCGCTCTCTGTCCTCTTTAGGGCTACAGTCGGGCCGTCGATTGGTGGGCTGTTGGCGTTCTGATTTTTGAGATGATTGCCGGCTACCCCCCATTCTTTGCTGATCAGGCTTTACAGGTTTACGAAAAAATTGTTGCTGGAAAGGTATGTTTATGCTTTTTGAATAAAAAGTCCCGTTGCTGCCTAGCTGTTGAGGGCCAGACCAATTGCAGTAGAATCAATGGTGCATTCAATAATTTATCTTCTACTTAAACGTATTAGTAGCCAGTATATTCCAGGCTGACTTCCTGTCAAGTTTTCAAACAGTACTGAATTGTTTCGATATTTTTGCCTGTGTCAAATTAGGTCCGATTCCCCTTTTTCATGAGTACGGATGCCCGAGCTCTGCTCAGCAACCTGCTTCAAGGCGATACGACAAAACGTTATGGTAACATGCGAAATGGTGTAGCGGACATCCAGAGCCACGTCTGGTTCACCAGCATTGATTGGATTGACATTCTGGACCGCAAGGTGAGAGGATTCCATTGTCTATAAACCCCAAGTAAAGGACAGTCCCGCCTACATTTCGATAGCTTTTCTGTTGAGGATTTGGTGTAGGCTCAGTCATCCACAGGATATGTCTTCTTGCTGTGATATTCCACCAGACTGTTGATATCTCAGTTTTGGTAGCCGTTCCTATGATTCCGGGTCACATCTAAGTCTGGATCCTTGATTTACGTATGACTTTTCATAAAACGGCACAAGATACGAGGTCTTCTGTGGTAAGGGTACGAGCACTTACCGTTTCGAGGAGTTAATCCACGTTGGGTATCTTGAGGGTCAGCATTCCAGCAACCATGAAGAAGTGAAACACTGGATACACCCAAGAGGACCATAAATTGATTTCTTCCTAATTTCAAGGTGAAGCCGCCTTACGTACCCCACGTGAAGGATGACGCAGACGCTACACACTTCGATGACTACCCAGAAGAGGAGATCGTGGATGCCACCACCACCACCACCACACCCAAGATCCTCTACGAAGCAGAATTTGCGGATTTCTAGCGTCGCCAGAAAAGCTCAAATAGATGGAAAATGGAATTCTGCTCCTCAATCCCTCCCCACCTCAACCGCCCCCATTTATGACAGCTTTTGTAGCATTCAGAAAGGCAACAAGAAAAAAATCATCCACCAAAACGACTGGAGGGGATGATTTTACCTCCTCCTTTTCCTTTACTCTTGATTAAAAACTCCTCTGAAATCTCCACCTCTTTCTCCTTTTCCAAATTCATCGTCTACCCGTCTGTCTACCCTTTTACCAGTATGTCCACCTGCCTATCCACCGTGTACATAGTGACATGCAGGAATGCCAGATTGATGATGATAAAATTGATTAGTTAAAAGAAAACGTTTCTGAGAATCTTTCCCCATTTTTTCCATTTCCCTTATTTAACAAAGTTGGGATCGTGTGGTGGCAGCGAGACCCCCCAAGAACACCTTGGATAACATGGCCGCAGTCTCCATGGCATTCTGCTCATGTCATCTCAAATAGCAGTCTCCAAAGCATCCTCTTGCAACAGCGATGATAAACACACGTCTAACTAGGCAGACCTCTCGCGTCTTCCCGAACAATTGGGCAAGCTACATCAGTGGTGGCACTAGACAAACCCACTGTAGGTAAGGAAAAACCCAAACCTTGCTAGTCGGACAGCACGAAGCGATGGTATAGGAGGGCATCCAATGTGAGTCACCTGAACCGGCACGTCGACACTTGGCAGCTACCCGAATTTCCAGTCCCGCATAATTAACAGCAAGTAAAACAAGGTTATAACCAAAAAGCGTGACAGCGTCTGTGAAGGTGCCACCTGCATCTACTTACCTGAAGGTACTGATTTACCAGCCCCCAATGGAGAAGCGATCGCTCGCCACGTTCTAGGGAGGCGAGTGAATACCAGAAAGGGCTTCATTAAGCCACCTCAAATACTGTCTCGCTGATGGCTCTGTGGTCCACAAAAAACCCCCTCGTTTTCAACCATCATCCAAAGAGGCCTTCGAGAAAGGCCAATCTCATGGAAGCCGTCTTCCCTTCTGTTTATAAGCCTCAAGCACTTTCACATCATCCGACTTTCAGCTATTACATAGATAATACTACTCGCCTGTCAAAAGGAGTACGCCGGCAGAGTATAAATAGGACATTTTTATTACTTTTACATAGCAACAACTCGCAGATTAAACACTAAAATTCAATATAGTGCGTCCAGATCCCGATAACCGTTACTCCGATTGCTTTCATGCCTGCAAAATCGGAGACAGGATCCCATTTGGTGGTCAAAAAATGATGACGTGAGAAGAGTAGAAATACGAGGGGAAAAGGAGACTCACCTGTAGTACCTGCTCCCACCACCGCCCCACCTTTGCTCCGCGACCCACGGATTCGGTCGGCCATAGCGACGTTGACTAGTTCCGCCGGAAATACCACGATTGAAGGAGCGACCAAATCCGTTACTACGTGAATGCCAATAACGTGTAGAATGTGATGATGGTGGCAGGTCATCACGACCGCCACCGCCACCAGAAGCCTGCTGACGGCCTCGTGGAACATCTCCACCTCCAACATCGTCTTCAGCTCCGGAGGAGACAGAAGAGGGAGCTGCAGCAGCGGTGGTATAACCGATACTTCTTTTGCGAACTGGAAGGCGTCTTCGAGGTGGACGCATCAACTCGGGTCGCAGTGGATCCAGAAGGAAATTGTTGAAGAAGTGGGCCTGTGGAAGAAAAAATAACGCTAATCACAATCAAGTAAACGGAGTGTATGCAAATAGACCTCTACGTGGAGCTCCACTGCCAGCTCCACCGTACCTCCATGCTTTACTAACGGAGATACCTGCAACCACATCTGTCCTACAAATGAAGCAAATTAGCACCATATCGATGACAGCGGCGGTGAAACTGCTCCAGACTTGAGTTCTGGCACAGTGGTTGGTAATGCGGCGTGTTCGGCTTTGAGCTCATTGCAAAGATTCAAAAGGAACTGCTTATGATGTGTGTCTAAAACCACTGAGTCATGAGCGCCAACTGATGATTAGAGCCATTCACTATTTAAAGGAAACCAGAAACAAGCCAGATGCACCTGGACAGAATTGGACAAATCAAACGCCAGAAAGGGTTACTGTCCTCGACTGTCTTGTGACACACACACACAGAGAACTCAAACTTCAAGAAGCAAAAAGGGAGAGCAGAAAAATAATCACTCACATTCTCCTTCTTCGCCTCCTCCACCTTCTCCGCGTGCTTGTTCAAAATGTGCTTTCGCACGAATCCTGGGCCACGAAATTTCTTGTCGGACAACGGACACACCCAGATTACGTCACTAAAAGGAGGGAACGTGAATTTATAAAAAAATGAGGCAACCAAACGCACACTTTCCGCTTCTTCCGTTTGGTATTGGCCTTGATGAAGGCTTCCACAACCTCGGCTGCATCCCGATAGCCGAGGAGACGCAATCGACGCTCGTTTGTATCCATTTCACGCGTCTCCGATGGTTGCTGTTGTTCGGCGTTTTCGACCAAATTTGTTGCCGATGGGGCGGAGGAGGAAGCGTCCTCCTTTTGCTCGGTCTCTCGGAGCTTCGCTATCGTCCCCACGGATAGGGGAGTGACAAATCGAAATATCCGACTGATTTGACGAGCAAATACCTGTGATTTTAGTAAAAGGCACTATTTAACTGACGACTTGGCTGATGAAACTATACAGTTGAGACTTCTATCTCACCTTATGAGCAGAGCGTCCTGAAGCCTCCTTACCAAAGACTGGTGTCGGCGGTGACGGCATTAATCTCAGCACAGTCGGCGCCGTCGCCGTTGCAGGCAGCTTCGAGGGTCGAACATGGAAAATACCGCAAGGATGGGGCATATCACTCTCTCTTGGATACAAAGCTGGAGCGTAAAAGTCCACAGAGTAGACGAGACGGAGGTAGAGCAAGAGCTGGTCCAACGCTGCCGCCAGTTCAGCATCGCCTTCCTCTTCTTCTTCCCTTGTGGAATTCCTTTCGTTTCTTGCGGGTAGCATCATTACCTCCTCGTCCGGGTTACTCTCATCCACTAGATAATCAGTAAGATTCTCCAATAACGGATTTCCTGTGCTCGCAGCTAGACCGACCAGCGCACTCGCAGCGCCAATCAAGCTGCCCCATCGGGGATCCAGCTCCGATGACCTTGGGATAGACCAATCCGATTGCCCCTCAAGGGGTTTCCACGGGGTCCACACCTCGTCCAAACGTCCAACTAGTCGTGCAGCCATCACCAGATGGCGACGCATTACGGACTTACTGGAAATAGGGTTGAAGTGAGAGGTGGTGGATTTCGCAGTAGCCATGAGAGTTGTAGCAAGGCGTGTTGAAGCGCGAACACGGTCCAAGTTGAAGGGACCGGGAAGAGTGCTTGCGGTCGAGAGGGCGGCAGCAAGGTGGCTCGCCTCGGAGGGAACTGAGGAGGAGGAATCGGCACGAAGACGAGAGACCAAAAGACGGATAAATTCAAGAGGTGGGGTGGAAGTAGGGGAGGTGGGAGTGGCTGTGAATGTGATCCAGGCTGGACGGTGTAGAATGAGGGAAGCGCCGAGTGATGAGACGGGGCCGTCACTGAGAAATTGATTAGGGGCTACTGGAACTGGAGTTGGCTCGTAACAAGCGAAGCGGAGAAAGTCGGGATGTTCGGAGAGCAGCTAAAGAAGAGATAAACACTATCATTCGCCCCATTCATCAATAATGAAATGTTCCATTTCCTCAAGCAATACTAAAGGGGGAAATTGGTGCCCACTTCATTTATAGTAGAATATTGGTAGGAAAGCATGGAAATTCACCTCTGGAGAACACTGTCAGGTAAATGTTCCATTTAGAGTAAATGTACAGTTAAAACGAACTGAAAACGATGCTCTTTTAAAGAAACACCCAAAAGAACAAATATGTTGAATCATTTTACTAAATGTAAACTCTTGAGGAAGTCGTTTAGTAGAGGAGTCAGTGCCTAGCGTTGATAGCTGATTACCACATGTTACAAAAAAAATTGGGACGATTTCTCCTCCTTTTGGGATGTTAGGATATAAAGCGGTTAAACAGTGCCGAAACCAGTTCTTTGCGAGTTATTCAACCATAGGTAAGCCAAAACAGGGCTGTTAAAATCCGAATTGCGGACTAAGGATTCAACATTCACACCATCTAGGTTACCAGACAAGAAGCAAAAACGAAATTTGCTCTTCAATTGTTCCTCTGTGTGGACAGTAGCCTTTACCTGTCACAATTGCGTGAGGTGATCCACTCGCTATCTACTCGACATTTCTAGGGCACGCAGAAGTAATAAATGCAAAGGCCTTATGAATCATGAAACCACTCTTCACGGAAAAAAACGGTCAATACATGGAAAGAGTTACGCAGGAAGGGACGAGAAACAGTGAAAATAAGAAAACTCAAAAATAAGCTTACCTCAACGTTACCACATCGAAAAATCAACACAAAATCGGCCCAAGAGTTTTTAATTGAAGTAAATTACTTCTAAACCTTGAAATCATGTTCTTGATTTAGACTTAAGGGCACTTGAGTATTGACAACTCTACAAACACGTCGAAGCGATAAAAAGGGACCACCCAGCTCACTGTTTCAACTGTAGCACGATGCACGCTGAGTGGAAGGTAGGGCAGATAGACAACTCGCGTAACATGAAGCGGTGGAGGTCGGGTGGGTGCCTCTTTCGAGTACTCCCCTTTGGTACCCACTTCCTCCTCCTTCCCTTCGACAATTTCCATCTTCTCAACAGCTCCTTCCACTCCCACTTTGACATCCTTATGGTGCTCATCCTCCTGCTTACGTTCCATGCTTTCCTCATTCCCCTCCTTCTGTATCACAGTGTCCGCCCTTGAAGGTGACGCCGATTTTGAAGACGAAGAAGTAGAGGAAGAGGCAGATGATGAGGAGGTGGAGGAAGAGACGGAAGAGGAGCTGCGACTTCGAGAGCGCGCGGAATGCGACGAGGACGCTGCTGATGATGAAGACGATGAAGAAGACGAAGAATGCGATGAAGCAGCAGAGGCAGAGGAAGAAGCGGAGGAGATGGAACTAGAAGCGCTGGAGTCGCTATCATTTCCTTCGTTATTATCATCCCCCTCACCCCTCGTCTTCTTCTGATTATTCCGTAAAGGAAAGCAAGGTAGAGGTGAAGGGCGTAAGTGTAAAAAGGATGTTACACATTTCTCCTTTCCAACATACACGGTTGCGCTTGGTAGACTTCTTTGGTGAATGCCTACTAGATCCAGGCGTCAATGATCGCCTTTTTAGGGGCTGGGATGTGATGGCTGTAGATGCTTGAGATGTCTGCCTTCTCGCATCTACGCTATTACCGTTCGTCGCCAGAGAACTTGGATCAAAAGTGTCCAATTCAGCTAAATCTTCAGAGGTGCCACCGGACAACAAAATTGCAACTGAAAGGGAAAAAAACACTGCAGTGAGTCAAAAAAAGTTATAAGCAAAAAATATATGCTGGGGACTGACATTGATCAAGAAGTTTCGTAATGGCTGCTCTTTCCTTGTACACCAAAGAGATGCCCTTAAAAAAGCCCTCGTCACGCATTTTCCTAAAAACCTCAAAACGTGCCACCAGTGTGGATCTCTGTTTCTCTTTTGGTACAATATAGTCAGGGTGGTATTTGTCACGAAACCTACAAATGACAAAATTTGCGTAAGGAAATTAGACAAACCATGCACTATTTTTGTGACGATCGAACTGATCTGAAAGTTGGTCTTTTAAAAATCCGCCAACGTATGCACTGTACTTTTGAGCACCGTCCTCATCCGTTAAGGAGGATTCATCAAAAGGCTCCAAAAACTTTGACAAACGCATCATCTTGGGGGCAAATGTTGGCTGCAGAAAAGTAGTGCTTTCATTCTTTTGAATGACTTCTATGGCGAATAGGTCGGACTGCTCACAATTATTCGTTTGTGAGCCGCCCCGTCTACTTCTGCTTTTCTCATCAACCACAGTCATCGCTCGCTTCATAAGCGCGCGCTATTCGCAGTCGCTTGACGGGAATCTGTCCTTAATTCGTTTGTTAAAAAACCGGCAAATTATCCTTGTAATCGACAATAAATTAAATCTCGTTTTAATGCTCCATTTTAACTCGTTCATTTTATGAAACTTTATTCCGTCAAATCAGATAAATAATGGACTATAGATGGTGTAAGTAATCAAAATAAATGGGTGCGAAAATTATCTTGATTCATGGGAAGATGTGATAGGCTTACTGATGTTAAAGAAAACTAAAATTCTGCAATTTTGACTTTTAAGTATATGATGTACTACACAATACTTATTTTACTGTATTATTTCCTGAACTCTGTTGGTAAAATCACGTATTTATATGCCTTCCTCATTAAAGTGCTTTAGAATTAACTCTGCGGATACAAATGGTAAGCTCCTCATTTTAATATGGAGAATTCTGCTTAAAAAATTATCGCGTCTCCTATCAAAAGAGTGGTCTGCACAAATGAAATCCCATATTTTGCTCACTCGATTCGGGGCCGAACATTTTGTATTGAACAAATTTTCGTAACAGTATATCAATCTCCCGGCTTATACCCTATAGTTTTCCCCACCCGACAAACGTGCTTCTCTGTCGGGTAATTAATGGCTATCCTAAGTATTTATTAGGCATTTATTCGAGCCTCATTTTGTGCAACCTTCTCATGTTTGTTCCTTTCATTGTTCTTCTGTTCCTACCATCATTTGAGAGTAAGTATGAAGGGTGGTTTTCTCTACTTACCTCCATTTAAATATGCGGTGTAATCTCTTTACTTAAATATATTATTTCTACCTATTTTTATACTTCCTTTCGTAATCGCACTTCATGAGAAGTAATGCCTTCCCGCATGAAAAGATATAAGTAGAGTAAAAAACTGTCTTCCATTTTAGAGACTCAAACAAAAGCATGTACGATAAGTAGAGCTTGTAAACAGTACAATGAGATCTGCACAATTGGCGCCTGTTGTTTCCCTTTGAGTTGTATTACCACTGATAACGTTGGAAGGGGATTTTGCATATAATTTTACAAAGCATTTTCTGAAAATGCACGAATATTTGTTATTTTCTTGATGCTCAAATGTATTTTTTTGCATTTGTGGCATATTTAAAATTTGCTTCTCGGAGTCCCTCCCTTAAGCAGTGCATCGTGTCTTCCACGGGGTCGCGATAAGCCCAAGTAGTTAAAAGGCACATATATTATTGGCGTACAGAGGAGCCAGAAGGCTGCTAGTTAGCGTCGGAAGCGATGCCATAGAGCAGGGCGTATGTTCAACCCGCCATATCTAAAGTGCCTGGGTTGTTTAACACAGCCAAACAAAACACAAAATCACTTTAGCAGAATGGAGTAAAACACACTACTCAGGTACAGAGGAATTGAGAATCCGTGACAGTATAATGGCAAATTTCGAGTGGTGAGGTGCGCATCTGAACAAAGACTGGACTGTTAAGCCAAAATGATTGCTGGAAAAATGGATTTTTTGTTGGGGCTAAATGAAGGTTACTGGCATCTGCCTCTCCGAACGCCATACCTCAGGGGAATGCACACGAAGGGGTGACAGCACTGCGTTTCATACAGGTAACACACCTTGTCTTTTGCAATACACTCAAATCCAATTGTGCATTCCTTTGTCAAATCTAAAAAAGAAGAGCACAACGATTACCTTCAATCTCGCATAACTTTGCGTTTTATACTATGGAGAGTTTCGCTAAAGGTATTCGAATGACCACCAGCTAAACCCTCTGCGATCACCCCATTTTAACTGTCAAACCTTTAAAGGACTCAGCTGGTGATAAAACATTGCGCTTTTTGCGTAAAATTATGCGACCAAGCTTTGTGATTACTTTAAGACCATAGGAATAGATGTGACTGAAGAATAGATGAATTTAATTAAGGCGAACGCGTGATCAGATCAAAAGAGGACGAATGGATGGATACGGGATGGATGGATATGTCGACAGACAATCGGGTAGGTCTGTGGTTTTCAAATAAACATGGAATGGATAGATGAAAATGATAGAAATTTCTGCACCTAATTGTGAGCGACGAATGCATTCGCCAAAGTGGGCTGACAGGCAGATTCCAAGTTGATGGATCCACGGAACAACGCCATGGTGCAGCATCTATCTGGATCCACAACCAGAGCTTGAACGAATTGGACACAGACTACTTATATCTACTACTCATATACACAAAGAACCTTCTCATCCCTACTGAAATCACGAGCCTCCAAAGTCGAGTAGTCATATGGTACAGGTGTGCAACCTCTTAGAGTCGATCCTCAGGGGAGCACGAAAGATACGGAACAGCTTTTCCCTATTTGCTGCCACCTGATGGATAAATCTGCGGGTAGTGGGCTGAATAGATTGAGGGGAAGTTGGAAGGAGAACAAATAATCTTCCATATTAATTTGTTTAAAACAAATTCCTAAGTGTTTCGGAAAGATAATTTTTCGAAGCGATGCACGGCCTGCCTACTTGCAGGTCTCCATGCTAAGGTCACGGAGAAACTGCGTCTTACAGAACGCCCCACCACCGGGCACAGTAGATGCGATAAACGATGAAGTCATCGCCGCTCACTGGAAAAAGGTTGTAGACGGCTAGACCCACCTAGGGGCCACTAGGGTCAACACTGAACGCATTCGGTGTAGAGCCAACCACTTTTGCCAGTTGCTGGTAATATCTTGCCGATATTAACGAAGAGAGTGATGAACGAAGAGTGATGATGAAGACAGTCGAAAACTATTCTGCTTGCTTGGTGGCATTAGGCGGACAGTGCAAGGAAGAGTATGTGATGGAAGTGTGGAAAAGTTTTCGTGAAGATGCTGGATTGCTGGGGCTCATTTGACCTTCATGATAAAAGGATGTGTTTACTAAAGAAATCAGGGATGATTGCATGAAGAAGTGGATCTAAGAGAGGTGAATGGATTCAATTTAGGTCAACAGGCAAACATATCCTTCATGCAAGAATTCGACGGAGATGGATGGACTGACGAGTAGGTGAACGATTCCGCGATGGTTAAGGGATGTGGGGATGGATGGATGGATTTGGGATAGTCGAATAGATAAGGTCCTGGATTTCATTGCTTAGAAATGGTATAAATCCACGACCCTCCAATTTCTCCTCAAAATCATTTGCAGTATGTTCCTTACTCAAGCTACCAACCAAATGAAACCTTTTGTCAATTCCTCGCACTGCAGCATTCCAAGCTGTCCAGCTTTTCAGCATTTACCATCAAGAATTGGTTAAGGCAAATGCGACTTACAAATGGCGACCTGTAGTAGCACAACAACCACCAAAATGTGTTGCAAAGTGGAAAAACTCATAATTTTTCCTCTGTTAATGTTCCAACACGTTTTACACGTCACAAAGGTGATTTATTGACCGCAGTGCAACAAAAATATGCGCCTTGGAGCACTTTTTCCCTGCTAGAAGAAAAGGTGGCAACATTTATTGGTTCTTCTGTCAACTGGGTCACAGCAGTGCGCCGATAGGTATAAAGATACACAACAATAGCCAAACCTTCCCATTCTCGTGCAGATTGGTTTCTGGGATCTCTGGTGTAGCTCTGCTACCGGGTAAGGAAATACCTCGTGCGACTCCTGTTCTGCCACTAGAAGCAAACAACGTGGCATTTGCCGGCTCCTTTCAAGGCGATTGCTCACTGCCTCGTGGAACAGTTGACTACAATCTCTTCCAAAAAAAGTAGCCTCTGGAGGAAAGAAAAAATGAGGCGGGTCCTCGTCACCTCCCAACCTTCCATTATAAGGCAGTTGCTAGCTAATCACTCTTGGTCACTTTGTAGGGGTGATTTTTCCATCTCCGTCCTCCCTGTCGTATAAAATGTCGGAAAATAGAGAAATCTCAGCCGCAATTGCTTGGCCTTCAGCCAGGCAACAAATTTGTTTGGAATTCGCCACAAACTCACGCACACACTTAGAGTTATAAAAGTGGATACAGACTTGTGGCAAGGCAGTGGCGCGTGCCTTGGAAGTGTAGGGGGTGTGCCCGGGGTTAACGAGTGGACCGATGATGTATTTCCTTCACTCAACCAACGGTTTGGAATGCAAAAGCCATTTCTTCAAAACAAACCAGCCGTTTAGTCAGTTAGAAAGCAATAAAAAAGGATGATGGGCTTATTGGCATGGCATAGCTCACTCATTCCCTCGGTAGCTGGTGCCACGACATCTTTCACAGTTGGCGTGAGGGCATAACCTTCTTGACTCAACACTTACGTCAAGCATCACTCGCAGTCCAATTCTTGGCTCCTTTAAGTAAGTATTCAAGATCAAGAACAAGGGGTCTTCTTCATCATTACCGAGCCAACTTTGAAAGATTTTATCGCCACGATCCATCCAAATGGCCAGGCTAAGCAAATGAGTTGACAAGCAACTTCTACATTATTCACCACTCACCTTCACCAGTCTTATGATTAAGGCGGATTTGAATTTCATCCGGCTCGACCAATACATGATGCACGATGGTTCGAGATGTCGGGTAGGTGGAATAATTACAGTAAAACCACACCATCAATGTGTCGAGCATTGTATATCTTTTTCCTTGGAGGTTATACAAGTCCAACTGAGAAGTTTCATCCAAAATGTCGGAAAAATGGCACAAATTAAGCGACCACCTGAAAGTATTCTCACCGAATCTGTGTACCTTCATCAAAAGACGTTTTGTTACATCTTCCAATCTGAAAGAAAAGAAGAGGGAAGAGGAGGGGAGGGGAAGATTGTAACTGATCTCCTCGTAACGAGTTAAACTTGGCCCATGAAGCACACCGAATAGGATTGTTTCCACCCAATTTAATCAGAAAATTTATGAATGAGGATTCAAAGTGAAGGCGCTTTTTAGTACGTGCATGTAGAAGTGGCCAAATTATCAATTAGATGTGGAGAACAGGATGTGTCGCTTTCATCCCATCAAGCGGTCACCACTGCTCCAGTAGCATAAAAGGCTTAGTAGACTCCAATGCCAC